TATGTAATCATTTTTTTTTTTTTTTGTCAGTGGAAAGTGTCATGACGCCATTTCTAACCTTAGGTCCCTGGGCGGGACCCGGAAAGAAATGTGTAAACGCCAGAAATCAAAGAAAATAAAAATAATAATAATTGGGCAAATAGACCTGGCGGCACCCATCTCCCTTTGTGTCAAACCATAGCCGATTTCCCCCAACTTGAAGGCTCACCTTGGTCATGGATACGTAACCGTTGATTCCATTCAGGAACCCTCCACCATGGCGGTTGACTTCTGTCTAGAAAAACCTCCGCCCAGCGATGCCGTGTCATCGCCAAACTGGCTGCTTATTTAGATATGGAAACCAGTCTACCCCATGTGGCTGGACGGCTGTTTACCCTACAAGAAGATTAATCCAAGGGTATTTGCGCGTAAGTGGATGCAAGGAACCTGACTGGAGGTGTGACTATTTGTTATCTAATATCAGATCTTGTATACGGCAAGGAATATTGGACTATTTTCTCACAGAAGCAACAGGAATTTGCTTCTACTGTAGGATGTTTGATTTGAGTATAAACCGCTTCTACAGGGTAATCTAAGCGACTGCGTAAAGGAAGGAATAATGATAATAGATAAAGAAGAGATGAATTCATACCTTTCCAAAGGGATTTTGCGCGTAATTGAATGAATGAAACCCAACTGGAAGGGCGCTGAACTGTTATCAGTCCTTCTATATGGCAGTGAATGCTGAACAATCTCCCCACAGACGAGGAAAAGAATTGAGGCGATAGAGACGTTGTTCTACAGAAGGATGCTGAGTATACCATTGACAGAGCATGTGACGATGTTTTAGAGAAAAAGGAAAACAAACAGGATACCCATGCTTAATATCAGATGAAATTTCTAGGCCACATAATGAAGAAAGAGGGCTTGGAAAACTTGGCACACACGGGACATACTGAGAGCAAGAGAGACAGAGGAATGCAGCGACTGACCTACCTAAGGGGAGGGGCTGTGTAAAGTGCAGAACAAGGATTCTTTTCTTTTTTTATGTACCGTGTCCCTTCAGGACGTAGGCGATCATGGCCCTCCACATCTTCCCGTCATTTGTTACTATTTAATAAGTTTTGTTTCTTTTTTTGTTTGTTATTTCTCACAGACCCTGTTACACGATGTTTTACTCTGTCCATATTTCCTCTAAACTGCTCTTTGGACATCAGATTTTATAAGCCTTCCTTCCTTGTTAAGTGTTCCAGAAACTTGGGAGAGATAAAAAAAAGACAAAAGTTAATAAGAGCAACACAAGACAGGAAATTGTGGAGAGCCATGATAACCAAAGTCGTGAAGAGACACGGTATAAAGAGAAAGAAGGTGATTTTTCCTGTGTTTGTCATTGAATATATATTTTCTTTATTTAGTCGGACGAATGGTAGATTTGTAAATGGATTCTGACAAGAAAATTTTCGTGCACGACACAGTGACCCAACTTTTCTTGCAGAAGATGAAGCAATTGATTATATATATATATATATATATATATATATATATATATATATTCGTGAGGCCAAAGTTGCAGTCCGGGTTTTTAGCATCATTCATAAAAATGTTATCAGTGGTGGTCAAATGAAAGCAGTTTTGTTTCTGAGGCGTTAAAATTTACAAGCCACTTGTTGCCCCAGTTAACAACTGATTGGAGGTACTTTTCAAAAGCAGTTGGCAGGTTTACTTTTTTCAGATCTGTCAGGTTTGCTACTGAGACACGAATAAATGACATCTACATAAATATGGAGTTGGAGTTGGAAACATGACATCTAGGAGATCATTGATGGATATCAGAAACTGATATCAAGATATCAAGAGCCCCAGCCTGATCTTCGGCCTTCTTAAAGCACATTGTTTATGTCTACCAAAGGATTTTCTTTGACACTGTTTACACCAGGCATGAAATGCTCCTAGACACCCCAGCCATTTTGCTTCTAATACTTGGACATATCCCCACTGTCTTAGTGACAGAGAAAGCAACAGTTCTTCATGAAGCCCGTTTCCATGCCTATGAAGAGCCTAAGTATCTTGAGATCGCCACAGAGGCTCTCCTGGTACTGCTTTTACTTGACAGATTTCAAAAGGAGCTTCATATCGTCATATGACGCTTTCAAATAGACAGAGTGGGCAATGGGAAATCTGGAGTATTTATTTCCATTGTGCAGGAGCACAGTCTTCAGACGCCAATCTGAGGGATTTTATGGGAAGCCAGGGAAAGTGAAAAAGCCAGAGACATAATGGTTAAATGAAAGCAGTTTTGTTTTGAAGGCGTTAAAATTTACAAGCAATTTGTTGCCCCCATTAACAACTGATTGGAGGTCCGTTTCAAAAGCAGTTGTTAGGTTTACTTTGTTGGATCGGTTGGATTTACTACAGAGACAGGAGTAAATGACAGTGTCATCTGCATAAATATGGAGTTGGAAGCTGATGGCATCTAGGATATCAATGATATAGACCAGAAACAGCGTAAAACCTAGGATAGAGCCTGCTACCATTACAGGAAGAGTTAACAGAACAAAGCTGGATACAATGTCGGACATTCTTCAGGGCTTCTGATTAATCCTCGGGGGTTTACTCCCGAAACATGAATGCAAAGCTGCGGAGGTTTCAAATCATATTTTTTCTTCTTTTACATCCTGTCTGAAGTTAAAAAAAAAAAAAATCATATAAGCTACAATAATTCAAATTTGGTTTAAAAAAAATTGTCAAATTTTAAACAATCAATTTAGAGGTTAAAACAAAGACTGAGTTCAAATTTTACGTTGTATATATATGTTTTATTGAAGTTATTTGATGTATTTTAAAAAGCTGCCGTCTGAAGTTATTAGGCAAAACCAAATAATCAAATTTTACTTCAATAAAAATGTTAATAAAATCATCAAAAATTAATCAACACCTATAATTAGAACAAATAAACATATAAGATTTTGAACCGTTTACATTTTAATATAATCACCCTTCTCAATAACAGCCAGCAATCTATCAAAATCAATCAAAAGCAATCAAAATCCAGTGATTTTGTTCATTTATTTTAGTTAATCAGGTTCAGTTTCCGACATGGTAGTTTTAATTGCTTCCCATAAGTCTGATTTGCTGTTATGTTGTTTGTCATATATAATTTCATTTTCATAACTGACCATAGATTTTCGATTGGATTCAGATCAGGACTTGATGGTGTCCATTCCATCATCTTCTCTCCTGCAAATCTTTTATGCTCAAAGAATTCACGAATAAGATTAGGATACATGACAAGGTGCATTGTCGTGCATAAATACACACTTCACTTTGAAACTGTGGGACTTTGAATTGTAGCATGCAAAGAAAGTCTTCAAAAATCGCACTGTTCAGTTTAAATCCTTCGTCGATTTTGAATGGTCCAATAATTGTTTGGACGACAATTCCAGCTTATATCATAACACTATCGCCTCTTTGTTGTCTTCTTTTAACCGAAGGCACGTCCGAATTGGATAAAATCCGTACTTTCCTCCCATCCATCAGGTCCATCAAATGACATTCGAGATTCATCCATGAAAATTACTTTAGAAAAGGCAATTTTCAAGTATTTCTTGGCCCGGTTTTGACGCTTTAAAGTATTTACTTTAGTGAGAGGAGATTTTTTAGAGATTCCAATTCACAAAGTATTCTACATCTTTTGTTGTTCATGACTTCCTCAATTCCAGCCTTTTCAAAGATCTGAGCGATGACCAAAAGTGGTTGTTTCGCTATAACTCGCTTTAGTTTACATTCATTACAAGGAAACAAGTTCTTAAAGCATTTTCCTTTGCTCAAATTCTCAATTTATATTTTCAACAGCGTTCTTTATCATTCAATGGTCTCTAAAGCTCCATTGTGGACATTCCCTCACTCAATAAATTTGTTATTTTCTGTTTTTCAGTAGTTGTTAGATCCTTCCATTTACCCATGCTTCAACATATATTATGGATAAAAAAAGAAAAAAAAATAGTTTTATTAGATTTCAGGAGTCTTAAAGTAATATTAGTTTAATCTGCATATTAACTTCAATCAGTCCATTTTTGTAACTTCCAAATATCTAAAAAACTAACTATTAAAAATGACAGAAAATTTAGTTAAATATTTAACTAAGGATGGAAATAGACGCGTTTAAATTTGGTTCTGAACTTTGTGGGTTATTGAAGATTATTTGATTTCCATAATAATTTCAGATAGGCATTCAATTTCAGGACACGTGGAACAGTGGATAAATGCGTTGGTTAGA